CTCTCACAGCCCCGCATACCCTCCAACCTCTGTACAATCTCGACCACCTGCTAATATGGGGTATCTGCCTCTAACTCTCAATCTATGCTGAATCTAATGCCATAGTTGAGCCCTTTCAATAAATCGATGAACTCGCTATCTGACTATAGAGACAACGGCAGGTGCATGCCTGGACAAGTCACTGAATTGGACATCATACTCTGACATTATCATAGAAACCCAACACAACTACTCAAACTTCGCGCGCCATGTATCCCAAAGGGTCTGAGGAACAAGCTCTCTTAAGAATAACTCTGAAAACTGAGTCCATGTAAGTGAAGCTGCCTTGGCTGGGCTACCCTCCTCATAAGCTTGCCACCATTGATACGCTACTCCTGACATCTGGAATGTAGTAAAAATAACTTTGCTCGACTCCGTAATACCCAATGTGCGGAGAATATGGTGGCACTCCTCTAGAAAACCATGTGCATCCTCTGAAGCTAAACCACTGAAATTGGGAGGGTGATACTTATTGAACCTATAAAGTCTAATCTGCTCCTCCTCAGATGCTGCAGTCCTAACCGAGGGCTAAATCGGAACAACAGTTTGTACTAGTATAACATCTGGGACCTAATCAACATGGACTTGCTGCTCTAGGGTATCGACCTCGGAAGTCTGAGCTCCTCCTCCAGCCTGATATATGGCTGGTGCAAGTGGAATCAACCCCGTCTGAGCTAGAGTACCAAACATGATCAAGAACTATGCGAGAGTCTCCTGAAGTGCAGGGGTGACAACAAGCGCCTCGGGTGCCTGCCCTCCTAACTGGAGATACTGGTGGCTCCTCTGTCGCAGCTCGGGTAGGTGCTCTGGCTGCACCATGTTCCCCTCCTCGGCCTCTTCCCTGGCCCCGACCTCTCGTAGCTCTAGCAGGGGTGCAGGTGTCTGAACGTCGGATCCAGCAATACATGTCCTCACCATCTGTGAGATAATATAAAGACAAAGGTTCAGCTTTTGAAGTCAACCAATTCGCACGATAAGGAATCAAAGAAGTGAAGTTTCATAATAGTTTCGTATCCACTCAAAGATAAGTACATATGTCTTTGTACCGATTCGCAAAACTCTACTAAACCTGTTTATGGCTCGTAAAACCTACGAACCTAGAGCTCAAATTCAACTTGCCACGACCCTAATTTCCCTCCGTAGGATGTCGTGATGGCACCTAGTCTCTGCGACTAGGTAAGCCTAACATGCATAGAGAAATAGTGGAAAAGCTACTAAAACATCAAATAAAAACCTTCATACTATAATAATATACTCAACAGTACAATAGCCAACACTCTCCCCAAAATCTGGTGGAACAGAGTCATAAGCTCTACAAGATGGCACTACAAGTCTAGAACTACAATACAATTTGGAACAAGAAATAAACAGTGGGATGTCTAAAACAGAAGGGGACTCCGAGGCCTGCAGACATAGTGCAGGTATACCTTGAAGTCTCCAAAAGCAGCAACTCAAATCAACTATAGCATCTGGCATGGGAAGACGTACCTGGATCTGTACAAAATGATATGCAGAAGCGTAGTATGAGTATACAACAACGGTACCCAGTAATTATCAAGCCTAACCTCGGTAGTTTAGTAATGAATCTAGGTCAATACGCCTACTAGGATATAATAAACAAAATGAAAACGTAATAACCAGAAGTCACGAAAAATGGAGCAATAAGTCATATGAAGCAAGTTAATAACAGAGACTAACGAAAGGATTGTAAGCATAGAGATAACATAAGGGAAAAAATTGAAAAGAACCACAATGTTCATATACGTGAAATAATTGACAGAACAATGAAGAACAAACAACAAGAACTGTTCCCACCAAATAACTCTTTACAACACGAGATATACATCAAGAATCACAACGAGGTACCGCCTCGTGTACAATAAAAATCACGACCGAGGTACCGCCTCGTGTATATCAAGAATCACAACTGAGGTACAGCCTCGTATTCACAATTCATAATCTCAATCACAAGCGTTCCTTATATCGCTGCATGAGCCTTACATTTAAATAGTTTTGAAAATATTTTTCCCAAAATAGCTACATGCACTTTAGCCCACCTTATGACGTCGCGTGGCTTCATGTAATTCCCTTACAAGAAACATGATGTTCGGCATATTTCTATATGTTTTAATGTTATTCTACCCATGTTTTAACTGCTTTTTGGTGCTATTTGATGTTAAAAATGTCCAACATGTGTTAATTATTGGTTTTACGACTAATTAAGTTGTGTGTGATGATTTATGATGTATGATAAAACAATGCTCCATCTATAGGAGAAGTGGGTGGATACAACCTATAAAAAAGGGCTATTTGAAGAACTCTTAGCAGTGAAGTCTCAAGAAGGCATCCACCTTAGTATCCGCACCTGGGCGCAACAAGGTTGAGGGAACAGAGGGTGGACGCGAAGCATCCACTTAGTATCAATTTCCGAAGCTGATTCGGAAAAAAGAAAAAGGAAAACTTTGGCCCACGGCTTTTGTACGCAATATATAAGCCAAAACACCACTTTCAGGTCATAGAACACACTTGGAAGTGGAGAAAAACCATCACAGTGTTCGGGAACCGTAAAATTCGTATTGATTTCTTCTTTTTCCCTTCTTTTCTTGATAATGCGTAGCTAAACTCGTTTATTCTGGGGTGGTTTTACATGAATGTTGATATTCAAAGATTGATTTGATGATTTAATTTATCATATTGAGTTATTTATTCATATCATGAGCCTAATTATTTTACTGCCTAGCTAATAGTAAAATACTATATATGAATCTTGAGTTAAACTTGAAAGAGGTAATTCTTGATTGCAATAGGATTGAATAGAGCGTGATCTTGAACCTAGTCATTGGGAAATTGATTTGCGAATACGGATAGAAATATACCTATTTGTTGTGCTTAGCCAATTTTGTAAGAGATTATTAATGCATTATTATTATCTATAATCTCATAAGAATATATGGGTTAGAATAGATTGAATAGGCGAGTAGAAGTTGTCAAATTTCTATGAGTATTATTATCCTTGCAGGTTAATAATCTAGATAAACTAATAAGTCGAGTCGATTTAAGAATTCGACAGGATTGTTAGCCAGCCATAACCTTGGAATATTATTTCTCATTGAATTAAAATCTTCATGCTAAGTGTGATAGTTAATTAGTTTGTCTTTTATTTGCAATTATCATTAGTAGAATTAATCAACAAAAATCACCTTGAAATTGTTCTTGACTCGATAAATCAGAATTTGCTTGATTTAGTAGACAATTGATCACAAGTCCTCGTGGGAATGATACTCTATTCACTCTTTTTTACTTGATTGATTGCGTATACTTGCGTGTGCGATTTAGGTCAAGAAGCTTTTGACCCAGAACCTAAGAGAGAATTTCGCAGAAGGTTGAGAGAAGCTCGGGAAGCACATAATTTACAAGCACTCATTCAACTTCCTGTTCAAATAGAGGATGAACACCCATTGGCGGCACATGAGATGGCTATGCCCAGCATTGCTAATGTCACCTCCAGTATCGTTAAGCCTAGGATCACATGGCATTTCGAGCTTAAGTAGAGCATGATCCAACTACTTCATACAAATGGACAGTTTATGGGACTACCATACGAGGACCCCCAACAACATATTCTGAATTTTCTGGAGATTAGTGATACTTATATCACTAATGAGGTCACATATGATTATGTGAGACTCACATTGTTTCTTTATTATCTGTTGGGTGAGGCCAATAGATGGTTGAAATCTGAGCCAGCCAACTCTATTGCATCATGGAATGATTTGGCTTGCAAATTCTTGGCTAGGTTCTTTCCTTCTGGTAAAACCGCAAAGATAAGAAGTGAGATAGTTGCATTTAAATAGAGGAAGGTGAATCACTTTATGCAGCCTGGGAGCAATTCAAGGGGCTACTAAAAGACTGTCCACACCATAAACAAACCAACGAGGTACTTGCTCATACTTTTATTGAAGGTCTTCACCTGAAACAAAAATAATGGTGGACGCAACAGCTGGTGGTCAAGTATTGGAAAAGAGCTTTAATGAAATCTGTGCACTATTAAACAAGTTTTCCAAAAGTAACCCCGATTGACAAAGGGAAACTAGTAGACACACAACCCATAAAGTTGTCGAGGTACTTGAATTGGATGTTATATCAGCACTATCTGCACAGGTAGCATCTTTGGCGAATCAAATCAGCAAGATGAATGTGGTTTTAACGACCTGACTTGTCGTTTTAAGAATTAATGCCCCGTTCAGTGACTTAAGGTATCGAGAAGCTTCGTAATATGTATTATGACCCATGGGTGTGGTCGAGTTTGATTTTCGGAAGATTCAGAATTTAATTAAAAGAACAATTCTTATTTAGAAGCTTAAATAGAAAGAGTTTACCGGAGAGTTGACTTTTGAGCAAACGACCCCAGAATAGAATTTTTATGATTTCAATAGCTTTGTATAATGATTTCGGACTTAGGCGTATGTCCGGATTTGGATTTGAAATTCCATAGGACAAATCGACGCATTTTGGGGAAAGTTGGAAAATAGAAGATTTTTGGAAAGTCCGGCCGAAGGTTGAATTTTTGATAACAGGGTCGGATTTCGATTCTGGAAAAAGGAATAGCTCCATTACATCATTTATGACTTGTGTGCAAAATTTGAAGGCATTCCGGATTGATTTGATACGTTTCAGCGTAAAATATAGAAGTTGAAAGATTTGAAAAAACTTATAATTTGATTCAATGCTCGATTCGTAATTTCGGCGTTGTTTGATGTGGTTTGAAACCTCGACTAAGTTTGTATTGTATTTTGGGATATGTTGGTATAATTGGTTGAGGTCCCGGGGGCCTTGGGTGAGTTCCGGATGGTTAAACGGACCAAAATTGTGCTTGAAGGAATTCTGGAATGTTTCCAGTTCTGGTACCATCGCACCTGCGATGGAAATGGTCGTAGGTGCGAGACTGCAAAAGCGACAAAATGGTCGCAGATGCGGCCTGGAGTGAGAAGGGCAAGGGTCGCAGGTGTGATGCATTTTTCGCACCTGCGTGAGCGCAGAAGCGGAAGCTCTTCCGCAGGTGCGAGGGCAGTGCCAGTAGACGTCGTAGAAGCAAGAATTTGCTTGCAAAAGCGAGCTCGCAGGTGCGTGAAATTAGTCCGCAGGTGAGAAACTGGACAGAATCATAAGGACCAAAAATGGTCATTTCGCCATTTTCGTTTTTGGACTTTGGGTGCTCGGATTTGGGCGATTCTGGAGAGATTTTTCACAAGCTTGGTTGGGGTAACTGTTCTATATCCTAAAGTGTTTATATTTTATGAATCTATGATTATATTCATCGTTTAATCCAGATTTTAATGGAAGAAATCAAGATTTTAGCAAAATCTTCCAAAAACAAAATTTCAAGATTTAGAGGACGATTTGTTATTGGAATTCGATAAAATTGGTATGGTTGAACTCGTTTCGAAATAGGTGTTCGGATTTCATGAAAAATATGTCAGGTTCCGAGAGACGAGCACCGCGTTGACTTTTGTTGACTTTTTAGAATTAAATTTTTAAGTCAACGTTTTATTATCTGAAATTTTTTTTCGATGAATTTTAATGAAGTTATACAATTGAATTGGATAGAATTGAGCTGTCCGGAGGTCAATTCAAGCAAGAAGGCAATTTTTGAAATATCGGCCTAACTTCGAAAAGGTAAGTACCTTACCTAACCTCGAGTGGGGGAATTACCCCTTAGGCATCGAGTCTTATGTGTTATTTGTGAAATGAGAAAAGCCGTGTACGCGAGGGGACGAGTACGTACTCGGGCTTATATGTGCAAAATATTTTGAGTTAAAATCTTGGGCATATTGTGTAGTAAATTGGATAATTGTTGGCATATATTTAATCATCTATTTGCCATGCCTTAAATCACATTTATTGAATTTGTTTTTATATGACAATTTGATGTAATTATTACCTGTATATTTATATGAATTTTGTGAGTTTGATGGTTTGATATTCTTGAAATTTAATTTTATTATGCATTTTTCTTATGCAAATAATTAATTAAGCAAGCTTAAGAAGATGTGCTAATATAATTACCTAAATTTGGATTAATGAAGGCTTTGCTTTAGGCTGAATAATTTCTATCTCCATTGATTGTTTTTTGTGGTGTTATACACATTGTGTGGAGCCTTCGGCTATTTGTTGTGAAATTAATTGATTTGGTTGTATCTTTGGAATTTGGTTGTGGCCATTGGGCAAATTGTAATATGAATGGATTTTGTTATGTTGTCGTGATAATTTCCCGTATAAATTGTTGTGTTGTGTGAGTTGTTATTTTGAAGATATAAGGGTGGAATTCTACTATTGATATTATGTGGGCATAAGGGTGGCATGTTACTGTTGTTGTGTTTTCTGGAATAATGTCTGGGCGGAGCGATAAAGGTGGCTATAGGAGAGATAAGGGTGACAATAGGAGCGATAAGGGTGACAATTGATATTGTCAGGTCGGAGGGATAAGGGTGGCTATTATAGGAGTGATAAGGGTGGCAATAGGAGTGATAAGGATGGCTATTGTTAGGATGATATGTGATGACGTGGAGTGGTTGCATTGGTGATTTTATGTGATGTTGTGACTTTCCTTGTGTTTATTTTTATACCTTGTGCAATTTGTCTTGTTGTTGGTAAATTGATAATAGTCTGATTTATGTACAAATTGGGAGCCTGTGTCTATTGTCAGGCAGATTATGAAAAGAAATGTGGGCACGAGGTGCCGTGAGTAAATAATGATGATATTGGCACGTGAACTATCCATGCAGATGTGATATGAAAAATGGGCACGAGGTGCCGCAAGAGGCCGAGGTAGAGGCCGAAGAAGGGAACGTGCCGCGACTAGAGCACCTGCCAGAGCAGCAGTTGAGGAGCCGCCAATAGCTCGAGTTGGGGGACAGGTACCAGGAGCACCTGTTGTTACCCCCGGACTTCAGGAGACTTTAGCAGAGTTCCTGAGTATGTTTGGTACATTAACTCAGGCGGGATTGATTTCTGTTGCACCAAATATTTCGCAGATTGGGGGAGTAGCTCAAACTCCTACCACAACTCCCGAGCAGCGGGTTCACGTTGGTCAAGTTCCGAGTGTAGTACCGGTACATCCTGTTATTTCGTTTCGGCCTGGGGTCAGGCCAGAGGCATTAGAAGAAGAAAAAAAGAGACTTGAGAGGTTTAAGAGGTATAGTCCACCTACTTTCAGTGGCACAACTACAAAGGATGCCCAAGGATTTCTAGAAAATTGTCACCGTATTCTACGCACCATGGGTATTATGGAAGTGATCGGAGTTGCCTTTACTACATTTCAACTGTCAGGCGCAACGTATCAGTGGTGGAAAATCTATGAAAAAGGTACACCAATAGATGCAATACCACCAACTTGGATTCAATTTTCGGAAATGTTCTTGAAATAGTTTGTTCCCCAAACTCTTGGAGATGCGTGGCGCACAGAGTTTGAATGGTTGCGTCAGGGCACTATGACAGTATCAGAATATGCCATCAGGTTCAGTGAGTTAGCCCGTCATGCAACTATCTTGGCTCATACAGTCAGAGAACGGGTCCGCAGATTCATTGAGGGGCTCGATTATGATATTAAAATATGCATGGCTCGAGAGTTACAAACTGATACTCCATTTCAACAAGTAGTGGAGATTGCATGGAAGATTGAGGGTGTTTTAGGCGAGGAAAGGGAGTCTAAGGAGGCCAAAAGGTCTCGAAGATCTGGAGGGTTCAGTGGATTTTACTCTTCAGTTAGGACCCATTATAGCAGAGGCTCGAGCAGTCGGTCAGCTCAGTACGCACATCAGATTACTCGGAGTGCTCCAGTAAGTTCTTACAATGCACCACCAGTATGAGATTCCTATAATAGTTATTCCAGTAATCCAGCATAGACTTAGTATGAGCAACCGTGACCTTAGAGGGGCTGTTATGAGTGTGGTGATACTAAGCACATTATGAGAGATTGTCCCAGACTTGTGAGGGGTGGATTTTATTAGAACACTCAGGCTATGGGCCCCAATGCAATTACTACTCCACGTACACAACCAGTTAGAGGTAGAGGACAAGCGGGTAGAGGACTCCTAAGAGGTGGAGGCCCGACCCGTTAATATAATCGCTATGATTTGGCTGAGGCCGATACACCAGATGGTGTCATTAAAAGTATGATCCTGATTTGTTATAAAAAAGGATATTTTTCCTTAATTTGATTCGGATCTGAATATTTAGGTGAGTCCTCCTATTATGCTCCGCTTATGGGTAAGCTTCAAAATTTTGTGAACCACTTACATGTGTATCCCTGTTGGGAGGTTTGATGATGTTAGCCCGTGTCTATCATTTTTATTTTTGTACACCATTGAGGGCTATAAATCCAAACATGACTTTTTATTACTCACTACAATGGCTTTTGAAGTGATTTTGGAATAATTGATTTCAATTTTATGAATTATATGCCCTACCGGGATGGGGGTTCATTATGTGTTGTGAAAACTGTTTATGAAATATATTGAAAAGAAGAAAGAAAGGAAATTGAAAATTTTAGTTGGCACAATGTGCAAAATACTTGTGATTCGGAGTTGAGGACGAGATCCTCGCATTTTTATATGATGTGAGATATTTAAACCGGGCTACAAATCACGGTGGAAGTTATATAAGGATGAGATCCTTGCGGTGAAATATTTATGAGTTAAATTCTCCCTTTGTGAAGTTTAATTTGTACTATAGTACTAATAGGGAGTTATGCCTGATAGGCTTATGTGATAGTTCTTTTATGTGTTTCTGTGTCATAATTGTGCTGTAATTATTGAGTTGTGGCCTACGAGGTGAGTGCCCAGGTGGTGTTAAATGTGACTCGTTAAGTTGGGTAAATAGTTATGAGGTCTTTATGCCTCACATTTTGTTGTCAATGTTGTGAAAAATTCGAAATGAGGTTTTGGTTAATATGAGGTTAATTGGCCATGTTGTAATCGATTATGAACAACTATTAAGACCAGAGATATGGTGATGGGCATACATATGATGTGCTTCATGTCCTGATATCATTATGATAATGCAGTGGTTGTAATGCTGAGATTAGTGTTATTGATATATACATTGGGGTGCTTTGTTGGGTTATGGATGTGTTGTTAGGAGTTGTTTTGGTGTTACTCTAGCAGGTGGATAGGCCCATTTACAGAGGAGACTCTGCTGAAATTTCTGAAAAATTTGGGAGTTAAAAAATAATTTGGGAGATTGACATGTGCGAAAGAAGAGAAAGGTTATGTTATGTGTTTGAGGGCAGACTCTATTTCTCATTCAAGGGCGAATGATCCTAAGTGGGGGAGAATGTAACACCCCGAAAATTTTTTGAAGTACTTCAACACTATCAAGAAAGTTGATGTGTGTGTAGGCATGAGTTGCAATAGCCAGTTGAGACTAATACCGTGCGTTGTTTTAAAAATCAGGCTTTTTGAAAATGTTTGGAGTGTAAGAAATTAGTCTTAAAGTTTACAAATATGGATAAAAGAAATAATCTCAATTGATATGGAGTTGTCGGGCTTATCTCAAATGCGGTAACGTGGGATCAACCGTGAGTATATGTGTAAAAGTAAAATCGTCAATTTGGGAACCTCGGAATAATTCTTAGCACGTTCGAGGACAAACATATGTTTAAAAGGTGGAGAATGTAACGATTCGACTTGTCGTTTTAAGAATTAATGCCCCATTCAGTGACTTAAGGTCTCGAGAAGCTTCGTAATATGTATTATGACCCGTGGGTGTGGTCGAGTTTAATTTTCGGAAGATTCGGAATTTAATTTAAAGAACAATTCTTATTTAGAATCTTAAATGGAAAGAGTTGATCGGACAGTTGACTTTTGAGCCAACGACCCCGAAATAGAATATTTATGATGTCAACAACTTCGTATGATGGTTTCGGACTTAGGTGTATGTCCGGATTTGGATTTGGAAGTCCGTATGACAAATCGACACATTTTGGCGAAAGTTGGAAAATAGAAGATTTTTGGAAAGTCCGACCGAAGGTTGAATTTTTATAACAAGGTCGGATTTCGATTCCGAAAATAGGAATAGCTTCATTACGTCATTTATGACTTGTGTACAAAATTTGAAGTCATTCCGAATTGATTTGATACGTTTCGGCGCAAAATATAGAAGTTGGGAAGATTTGAAAAAACTTATAATTTGATTCGATGCGCGATTCATAATTTTGGCGTTGTTTGATTTGGTTTGAAGCCTCGACTAAGTTCGTATTGTATTTTGGGACATGTTGGTATAATTGGTTGAGGTATCGAGGCCCTCGGGCGAGTTCCGGATGGTTAAACAGACCAAAATTGTTCTTGAAGGAATTCTGGAATTTTTCCAGTTCTGGTACCATCGCACCTGCGATGGAAATGGTCGCAAGTGCGAGACCGCAAAAACGACAAAATGGTAGCCGATGCGGCCTGGAGTGAGAAGGGCAAAGGTCGCAGGTGCGATGCATTTTCCGCACCTGCGTGAGCGCAGAAGCGGAAGCTCTTCCGCAGGTGCGAGGGCAATGCCAGTGGACGTCACAGAAGCGAGAATTTTCTCGCAAACGCATGCTCGCAGGTGCATGAAATTAGTTCGCAGGTGCGAAACTGGACAGAATCATAAGGACCAAAAATGGTCATTTAGCCATTTTCGTTGGTGGACTTTTGGTGCTCGGATTTGGGCGATTCTGGAGAGATTTTTCATAAGCTTGGTTGGGGTAAGTGTTCTATATCCTAAAGTCTTTATATTTCATGAATCTATGATTATATTCATCGTTTAATTCAGATTTTAATGGAAGAAATCAAGATTTTGGCAAAATCTTCCAAAAACAAAATTTCAAGATTTAGAGGACGATTTGTTATTGGAATTCGATAAAATTGGTATGGTAGAACTCGTATCAAAATTGGTGTTCGGATTTCATGAAAATTATGTCGGGTTCTAAGAGGCGGGCCCCGCGTTGACTTTTGTTGACTTTTTAGAATAATTTTTTAAGTCGACGTTTTATTATCCGAAATTTATTTTCGGAAAATTTTAATGAATTCATAGAATTGAATTGGATAGATTTGAGCTATCCGGAGGTCAATTCAAGCAAGAAGGCGATTTTTGGAATATCGGCCTAACTTCAAAAAGGTAAGTGTCTTGCCTAATCTCGAGTGAGGAAATTACCCCTTAGGCATCGAGTCTTATGTGCCATTTATGAAATGTGAAAAGCCGTGTACGTGAGGTGACAAGTACGTACTCGGGCTTACATGTGCAAAATTTATTGCGTTAAAGTCTTGGGCATATTGTGTAGTAAATTGGATAATTGTTGGCATATATTTAATCATCTGTTTGCCATGCCTCAAATCACATTTATTGAATTTGTTTTATGACAATTTGATGTAATTATTACTTGTATATTTATGTGAATTCAGTGAGTTTGATGGTTTGATATTCTTGGAATTTAATTTCATTATGAATTTTCCTTATGCAAATAATTAATTAAGCAAGCTTAAGAAGATGTGCTAATATAATTATCTAAATTTGGATTAATGAAGGCTTTGCTTTAGTCTGAATAATTTCTATCTCTGATGATTATTTTTGTGGTGTTATACACATTGTGTGGACCCTTCGGCTATTTGTTGTGAAATTAATTGATTTGGTTGTATCTTTGAAATTTGGTTATGGCCATTGGGTAAATTGTGATATGAATGGATTTTGTTATGTTATCGTGATAATTTTCCGTATAAATTGTTGTGTTGTGTGAGTTATTATTTTGAGGATATAAGGGTGGCATTCCACTGTTGATATTATGTGGGCATAAGGGTGGCACTTCACTGTTGTTGTGTTTGTTGGAATATTGTCTAGGCGGAGTAATAAGGGTGGCTATAGTAGAGATAAGGGTGGCAATAAGAGCGATAAGGGTGGCTATTGATATTGTCAGGTCAGAGAGATAAGGGTGGCTATTATATGAGTGATAAGGGTGGCAATAGGAGCGATAAGGGTGGCTATTGTCAGGATGATATGTGATGATGTGGAGTGGTTGCATTGGTGATTTTATGTGATATTGTGACTTTTCTTGTGTTTATTTTTATACCTTGTGCAATTTGTCTTGTTGTTGGTAAATTGATAATAGTCTGATTTATGTACAAATTGGGAGCATGTGTTTATTGTCAGGCAGATTATGAAAAGAAATATGGGTACGAGGTGCCGTGAGTAAATAATACTGATATTGGCACGTAAATTATCCGTGCAGTTGAGATATGAAACGTGGGCACAAAGTGCCGGGGGAAAATATGATGGTATTATTATTAGAATGTGAACTGTCCGTGCAGATGTGATATGAAAAATGGGCACGAGGTGCTGGGAAAATATGATGATTTAATTATGGGCATGAAGTGCCATGAAAATATAAAAAGGGCTGAGACCCGTATTTTTATAATTATGAAATGAGGTGTCACATGGTGACTTTTAACTGAAAGAATTATATTTAAAATAATTATTTGAAAGGACTTTTATTCAAAAAGTAGTATTTGAAGGAATTGTATTTGAAAGATATTTATTTGAGAAAATTATATTTGATAAAGATTTATTGAAAGAATTATATTTGAAAGATATTTACTTGAGAAAATTATATTTAAAGAGAGTTATTTGGAAGAATTATATGTGAGATATTTAATTGAAGAACTTGATTTACATCGGTGTAGTTGTATTTATTATTTGTTGAGCAATATTAATGTTGTTCTTGCCATGTCGGGCATATCATTGGTTGATTTGTGTTGCTCTTATTATTATTTGTTTCCTATTATTTTGTATACTATATTGCACAGGTTATTAGACTAGTGAGTGTCTTGACTGTACCTCGTCTCTACTCCACTAAGATTAGTCTTGATACTTACTGGGTGCCGACCGTGGTGTACTCATACTACACTTCTGTACATTTTTGTGCAGATCCAGGTATTGGAGATATCGGACTGGGACAGAGTTAGAGTGGGATCACAAGGACTCAAGGTAGAGCTGCTTGGTCGTCGCAGTTCCTTGGAGTCTTTCCATTTTATTATACTGTTATTTATTATTCAAACAGTATGGAGTATTTGATCCATGAGATCATTTCATGTATTCAGTTAGAGTTCGTGACTCAGTACTACTAGTCTTGGGAGGTTGTTACATTCATATTTATTCCGATGTTGGTTATGATTACCTATTTAATTCTTATTCAAAAAAGATGGGTTCGAAATATAATTGAAATCGGCTTACCTAGTCTTAGAGACTAGGTGCCATCACGACATCTGAGGTGGGATTTTGGGTCGTGACAGTGGTTCAGAACCATAAGCAGTTCCAACCAATGCAACAAAGTCAACCAGTACAACAAGTGAAGGTGTTCTACGAAGTCTGTGGTGAGGGCCATACTAGTGATGTCTGTCCAGTGAATCCAGAATCTGTTTACTTTGTGGGGAATGCAAATAGAGAACAAACAAATCAGAATCTATATAGTAATACTTATAATCCAAATTAAAAGAACCACCCAAACTTCTCTTGGGGTGGAAACCAAGGTGCTTATAATCAGTACATGCCACAAGCTCCTCAACAACAATATATACCACCATAGGTTGAGTAACCTACAAACTCGACGAGTCATATTAAGGAGATGCTAAAGAAATTGATGGCTGGCTAGTAGGCCCACTTAGCAGCCCACTCGGCAGCTATTTGAAATTTGGAGTGACAAATGGGGCAACTTGCCAGTGCTCAAATTATCGGCCAATTGGGGCTCTTCCTAGTTATACTGAGCCTAATCCTAATGTTCAAGTCAATGCGGTTACCATGAGAAATGGAAGAGTATTAAAAGAAGTTCCAAAGAAAAAGAAGTATACGACTAGTCCTGAAGGTGAATTAGTTCCCAATCCAGTTGAGGAGAATGAGAAAGAGAGCGAAAGATCAGAGCCAGTAATTGTGACAAGGCCACCACCTCCGTTTCCACAAAGACTACAGAAGAAAAAGACGATGCTAAGTACAAGACTTTCTTAGATACTTTGATCCAAGTGCGTGTGAATTTTCCTTTGGGGGAAATTTTACAGGAAGTGCCTAAGTATGCAAAGTATCTAAAAGATATTGTGGAAAACAAGAGAAGACTTAATGAGTTTGAAATAGTTGCACTTACTGAAGAGTGCAGTGCTAGAGTTCAGATTAAACTTCCTCCTAAGTTGAAGGATCCTGGGAGTTTCACAATTCCTCTGTCTCTTGGGAAACAAGAAGTTGGTAGAGCCCTGTGTGATTTAAGGGCTAGTATAAATTTAATGTCATCATCTTTGTTCAAGCAACTAGGATTGGGGTCCCTTAGACCTATTACAATCACCTTACAGTTGGCAGATAGGCAGTGCTGGTGATGTCGGAAGGAATTATTGAGGATGTGCTAGTGCAAGCGGGAAATTTTACTCTTCCTGCTTATTTTATTGTTCTTGATTACGAGATAAATGAGGAAGTGCACATTATTTTGGGGCGACCGTTCTTAGCTACTGGTAGAGCGATTATTGATGTGTGGGAAGGGAAGTTGAAGATAAGAGTTGATGATGAGGAAATCATTTTTAATGTGTATAAGGCACTTAAGCTCCCTAAGTATTATGAGGACGTGTGCATGATTACTGTGGTGGAATCAAAGGGGATAAAGCAGAGTCCTTATGTGAATTTAAGTGATCCAAGTGGGAAAACTGAGTTAGAGGAGGTGGTGTTGCAAGTTGAGTGTGTAAAGATGATTGAGAAAAGAGTCAGGGATAAAAGAGGAGATCTTCTTAGAGCATGCAAAAAGGCAAGACTTCATGGGAGAAAGAAGAAGCGAAAGTGCCCAGCCTGAGCAGAGTAGTAAAGTCGTGTTGTAATGTTAAATCAGGCGCTTGTTGGGAGGCAACCCATCATGTATTTTTTATTTTTTATTTTTATAATGTCACGTTTTATTTTGTTTTTGTTTGCAGATTAGGGGAAGTCTAAGTACCCAAAGTTGAAGCTGATGAGTATGTTTAAGCTTAAGTGTAGGGTCATCCCGACCCTAAATATTGAGGATCATATTGCTTGATAGGCCCTCTCAGGGTCTCAGGGAGTATTTTTCATCCTTGTTTTAATATTTTTCTTTATGATCATTCATCGAGAACTATACATAATATAAGTGTGGGGTGGGGGAATTATCTTCTGAGTGTAATTGTATAAAAAAGAATTCTCATTATTTTTTTAAGCCTTAGCTAGAAGTAGTCTAGTTTAGAGTACTTTCTTCAAAATAAAATACAAAAACAAAAATAGAAAAAGCTCACATTTTTCTTAACGATGGATCTCTTAGACAACTTTCTCGCAGGATTAAGGTCCGATTAAAAATACCAGAAAGATTTTCTTTTGCTTTTATTAGGATAGCATAGGTAGTAATTCCCTTAGTTTTTCTTTGGGCACCGGTGCTTTTTCAAGGGATGAAGTTTTGAGCTGGGTACTTTTTATTTTTAGAGTAGTGTAGGATATAGAGACTCAGATTGAATTCAGCATATTTAGTGACTTGTTTTATACCAACAGATTTAGACTTGGGCATATGGATTATAACTCTCCCCACGAGTCTTTGAGAACTATTTGTGTGTTGAAAAGTAGAATAGCTTGTTTGTGATGCTTAGGCTCATTTTCTTGACTTTTGTATCTAGAACTTGCCCTGTATGTGAGTTGAAATGAAATTCTAGGTTTTGCTCGGTTTGAAATATGATTTTAGGCCTTCTTTGATCCCTTTTTGAATTTTAATTCTACCAATAATAAAATCATCCCTAGTTAACCATGTTGATCCTGTAAACTCTTTGTTTGGCACCCACGGTACAAGCCCATACCCTTTTTTTATTCTTAATCGACATTATTTTGATCCTTTTAGCTCTTAAAGCACTTAACTTGTAAAATAAGCGCTAGAAGAAGTAAGGAGGTAACTTGGGTGTCTTTCGAGTAGAACCAATGAAAGGAAAAAAGTTGTACTTATTTTGTAAGAAATACACCACTAGCAGAAATCATAGAAAAAAAAAAAAGAAAGAAAAAAATCTGTGAGAAGAGAATTTTTTTTTTAGCAAAAGCAATAATATATCTTGTCCTTGCTAGTGAGTGTGAGTCAAAGTAGTGCTTAAAGAAAAAAGGTAAAGTTTTGGGGGAGATGAGTTTTGTGATGTTTGAACTTGGGTTGAAGAAAGTTGCACTTAAAGTGATTGCTTGATGTGTTAAAGTGCTTAGAAGAGTTAACTACTATTTTCTATATATATTCTACCCGTCCCTTAGCCCACGTTACAACCACGATAAAGTCCTAATTGATTTTAGACTGAGCAGGCCTACATTAGTAGAGATTACATAATGGGCAAGCTTATGATACCTTTTGTGCGCATGTGAACTTCTTTGAGAGAGTGAGTGATTTCTTCGATTGTGTAAAGTACTTAAATTACATTTGAATTTTATTTGAGTGTGTGGACTATCTCTCTTTGTATTGTGATGAGGGTACATGTTTCATGATGGATAGCTGACTTTATTAGGCTCTTCAGTCAGAGTAAGTAATTTGACCTGAAAGTAGTTAAGCTAGGGAGTCAGTTTCTGAGGTTGGGATGTCCCAAATTTGCTATTTGATTGTTTTGAACTGTTCAATATTGTGCTTGGCATGGTTTTAACATGGGGAAGTAAGTCCAAGAATTCATATGCAAAGGGTTAATTGTTGGTATCAACCAGAGTCATTGGTGCTTGAGCTTACTTAAAAAGTTGTGGCTTGATAGTGATAAGCTTTATTTTGTTCGGTCTAGTATAGGTTGATTTTACTTTGCTCGAGGATGAACAAAGGCTTAAGTGTGGGGTAGTGATGTTAGGCATATTTTTATATGTTTTAATGTTATTCTACCCATGTTTTATCAGCTTTTTGGTGTTATTTGGTGTTAAAAATGGCCAACATGTGTTAATTATTAGTTTTACGACTAATTAAGTTGTGTGTGATGATTTAGGATATTTGGAATGCAAAAATATGAAGAAATGATGCTCCAGCTATAGGAAAGGAGGGTGTATATGTCGCATCCAACCTATTAAAAAAAAGGGCTATTTGAAGCACCCTTAGCAGTGAAGTCTCAAGAAGGCATCCACCTTAGCATCTGCACCTGGGCACAACAAGGTTGAGGGAACAGAGGGTGGATGTTTCGCATCCGATGCTGAGAAGTTCAAGACGGGGTGGACACGAAGCATCCACCTCAGCATCAATCCCTGTACTGATTTGGAAAAGAAAAAGGAAAACTTTGGTCCACGGCTTTTGTTCGCAATATATAAGCCAAAAACATCTATTTTAGGTCATAGAACATACTTGGAAACGGAGAAAAGCCATCACAGAGTTCGGGAACCGTGAAATTCGTCTTGAGTTCTTCTTTTTTCATTTTCTCTTGATTTTTATGTGTTCTTGGAAATTAATTGAGATTGCTACCATAACTATGCGTGGCTAAACTCGTTTATTCTCGGGTTATGGTTTTTCATGAATGTTGATATTCAGATATTGATTTGACGATTTAATTTATCATATTGAGTTATTTATTCATATCTTGAGTTGAACTTGAAAGAGGTAATTCTTGATTGCAATAGGATTGAAAAGAGCGCGATCTTGAACCTAGTCATTGGGGAATTTATTTTCGAATACGGATAGAAATATATATATTTGTCGTGCTTAGCCAATTTTGCAAGAGATTATAAATGCTTTCTTCTTATCTCTAATCTCATAAGAATATATGGGTTAGAATAGATTGAATAGGCGAGTAGAAGTTATCAAATTTCTACGAGTATTATTGCCCTTGCATGTTAATAACCCAGATAAATTAATAAGTTGAGTCGATTGAAGAATTCAACAAGATTGTTTGCCAGCCATAACCTTGGAATATTATTTCTCATTGCATTAAAATCTTCGTGCTATGTGTGCGAGTTAATTACCTTTTCTTTTACTTGCAATTATCATTAGTAGAATTAATCAATAAAAATCACCTTGAATGTTTTTGACTCGATAAATCAGAATTTAATTGATTGACCGCATATACTTGATTGACCGCGTATACTTGCGTGTGCGATATAGAAAAACACAACACGCACATAAATCCCACCTTATGATGTCGCATGCACATTAACCCCTAGCCTTATACCACCTATGCTCGTCAATATCACATCACAATAGTAACTCACACCACAAGTGTCTATGTGTCACAACTTGCCAACAATCAACAATATAAATATTCCCACAACAATAGTCCATGGCTCCACCACAACGTGTACAAGAATATTAAAAATAACAATGAATGTAAGATACTCAACAAGAAGGATATCTCAATAATTAATATTTCGCCTCAATGTGATACGACTTTCACAAGTTCAACACCAATAAATCAACAATGAGAAAGATAATATGTAACCACGAAACTAAATACAAATAACTCGCAATGGAAGGGATAACATGACTTCAAATAAGAATAATAGCTATGAAAGAGATAACTTGTAATAATGACTTCAAATAATGATAATCAACGATGAAAGAAATGACATGTACAATGACTTCAAACAATGATAATCAACAATGAAATAGACAATATGTAACAATAAAATAGGCAACAAGTTCAACTAAAACATAAGAGCATATTATCAAGTAGGATGTACAACAAGTGTTAACAAAGTCATTTAAGGCATGTAAGGATAGACTAACACAAGTAAGAATAGGTTGACTATGAGAATTTAGAACATGATATGACAATTCAATTAAAGCATGGAAAGAGTCTAAGTAGCCTAAACAGGTCAATTACCACATACAACCCGTGTACCCACTCGTCACCTTGCGTAATCGTCTTTCACATAGCACAAATGACACAATCAATACCAAATCCTAAGGGGTAGTTTCCTCACACAAAGTTAGGCAAGATACTTACCTCAACAAGGCCAATTCAACTCTCAAAAATAGCTTTTCCCCTTAAATTTGCCTTCGCACGGCTAGACTCTAACCAAAACAGACTTAATATCATCAAACAATGCAAGAAAATTAATTATAATAGATAGAGCTAAAATCTTTACACCTTTCCTAAAAAGTCAACAAAGGTCAACTCGGGGCCTGCCCGGTCAAAACCCTGGTCAAATGGTAGATTCCTACTACCCATGACCCAACGAGTCCATATATATGATTAGTTTCAAATTTCAAGTCCAAATCAACTCTCAAAACTAAAATTTTTATTTTTCAAAAACTTGACAAAGTTTCACAAATTTTCACTTCGATTTACATGATTTTGATGTTAAAGTCTAATATATA